ACTTTCACTCTCTGGATGCTCACCCGGTCACGTCTGTCATTTCTACCTTATTAAATGCTGCCAGTGCAATCCAATAATCAAAATTTCCAGTATGTATATAACTTGGAATTGAAAAGATCTGCTCATATAATCTGGAAACAGTATATCCAGAACTGCAGACAATCCCTTTCTTCTCTTTTGCTCACAATAACTGTTGTGGAAAGAAAAATGAACATTCTAGGGGGAAAGTCACCTTAGTTTCAGCTTATTACATTCCTACTTGTTACTCAGCAGCAACAGTGGGGACAAGGGTGTGGCTTTACTACTTAGAACACTGGGTCAGTGATTTTGACACATGACATTTGCTTCTTCTTGCACATGAGCTAAACATGTAATCAGCACAACTGCTGGAACACCATTCCTTTATGAAAAGAAATGTCTTCAGTGGACATGACATCTCAGATACACAACAAAAAGGTGTACAGGACATCCAAGGTAGCAAATGTTTTATTTTAACCCCACTTTCCAACATGGTGAGGTACAGGTGTCTGCAGGTGAAGGGGGCAAGGGAAGGACAGATGAAGAAATATGCTTTGCAACATCATGACACAAGTGATGGGATCTACATACTTGCATGCAACATCAAGACTCAGCCACAGAAGTCTGGGGTTTGCATGATATTTAAAGATTCTTATTTATTTATTTGAATTTATAAGCTGCCCAACTCCAATGGACTCTGACAGATGGCTAAACCCACTGCTCTCCCCATGTTTTGAACTGGTCTCCAGCCCCAACCCATGTGGGGGGGGGGAACGATTGATGGATGTTTTCCCACTGGCAGGGAGATCACCAGTGGCTCCACCTTAAGTTGTCCTACAGCAAACTGTTAAGATGGCACTGCTGTCCAACCTATTGAGGCAGTGGAGCACCCTCTTGTGCCACTTCATGGCCTGGCCCTTTGTGAGGCAGCTGCTGGCAGTGCGAGGCCTTCCCAAGGGCGGCAGGGGCGGTGGAGGGCAGGGCAGCCAAATGGGCAGAGATGGGAGGAAGACAGGTGGGCGGGAGGAGTTGAAGTGGAGGCAAGCGAGGCATGAAGTCCTGGCCTAACAATCACAACTGGGACTACCGGAACTGCCATCACTAAGCAGTGCAGTCCTGTGATGTTTTACCTAACGATTGTATTGCTTAGTGATGGAAATTCCAGTCACAATTAGGGTTAAGCAAGAACTACCTGTAAATGGGGCATATAGCAAGGATGGTGGAGGGAGAACGCTACCTTCACATCAGGTTCAGTTAGTTGGCCTTGGCTACGGGCTGGGGATGAAGGAAGGCTGAGTCACCTGGACGTGACCTTAAAGAATTATCAGCCAGGCATGTTCCAGCTGAAATGGGAGGAGGGACCAGATTAATAAAAGTCCTAATTTAGCAAATCCACTGGCATAAACTACTACATTTATTTAGAGTTCATTTTGGTTTGTTTCTTTGGTGGCTTAACGTGTTGTGTACACCCAGCTGATTTGGTTAGCTTATGATTCAGAGTCCTATGTCACCTCAGAAAAAGGATTAATTCAATAACCAGGTTAAACATGTTGTGAACCTAGGCTATAGTGTACCATGAAGGCCAGCCAAGTTTATTTAGAGTGAAGTACACATATGGGTATTGTGAGAATAAAATAGCAAAGAAGATGCACAAACATAGTACCCCAACTCTTAAGGGAATATGGGTTATCTTCCAGTGTTGGCTTTGCTGTGTAATAAATGAATATGCAAAACTAGGATAAGTCCCAGTTAGTTGAGGTGGGGGAGAAGAAGGAAGCGCGAGCAAATGAAGTTAATTTTTAGAACTTATTTGGGGGTCCTCCACAGTGCAAATTTGTCTGAACATCACTAGGAAAAAGGTAGGTTCTTGACTGTCTTTTCAGCTCCAAAAAAGTTCAGACTCTATTTGCATCACGGCCATTTGGAACTGAGAAAGCACCCCTTCGGAACTACCCAGCTCCCAGCCACCATCTCTTCGATGTCCTTCTATCTATCTATCTATCTATCTATCTATCTATCTATCTATCTATCTATCTATCTATCCATCCATCCATCCATCCATCCATCCATCCATCCATCTAGATCTGGGGACAGAGAGGTGACAAAATCTTTTCACGAATCCACCGAGAGAGGCAGACCTGCCCCGGGACACGTGTGATGCTCAGACCCGGTTACCTGGTTAAGGGAATGACCTGTCCCTGGTCCCCGCCGTCCTGTGAGGACCTCTGACCCTAACTGACACGCGGGGAAGGGAGGGCACGGGCTTACCTGCTCCGTTCGCTGCTCTTCATTCATCTCAAGACCTTGGGCTACTTTTAGAGCAGGTTCTTTATAGAGGAAGAATAGGATACTCTGAGAATATTTATAGAACAGAGGAGAAAGCCCCGGGCTTCTGCGGGGTCACGTGACCGGCTGCCTCGACCGCGGAGCCCGCAGCGAGACGGCGGGGGTGGGCGTCGGCCGCCTCACCCAAACCTCAAGGAAGGTGGGGGAAAGGAGGCCGTCCCTGCAGGCTTTCCTCCTAAATCTCTGTATAATTGCCACGTCACAAGTCCCTTTATTATCCTTAGCCCGTTGTCCTGTTGTCATAGTTCTCTGCCACGATTTACTTCGCAAACAGAAGCCGGAGTTTGAGGGACGCGACCGGCAACTGCGATCGCCTCCCGCCTTGTCTCGGCCCCACTCCGCCCTACCTTAAAACCGCAATACAACCCTGGCAGCTTTCCTCGGCCAGCCCGGCCTCTCTGATGGGGAGCGTTGCCTCCTGCAATACAATACGAGTGCAACGGGCATTAATTTTATCGCAGCACACCGACAGTAGAGTTTTTTTTTAAAGGCCTACAAGTTATTTATAAAATAAGAAGGACTGGACTGGCATGAGTCATGGATAATTTTACTGCCACCTCCTGTTTTGGGGTAGGCGTATTTGTGTCCAATATCACTTGCATGTCAGTCTTCCCTTAGTATATTTTTACAAGCAGCAATCAGTTTACCTCCCGAAATCTTTCCCATGAAAATGAACAACTGGACAGTTTCTTCTTCTTCTGTCACCAAGTGGGTTAATCTGTTGTTTTCCTTAATTGGTTAAAAAAAAAAAAATCAAATGCTTGAGCAAAGTAGTTGGGCATAAATGAATGGGCAGAATAAATGGCTGGCTGTCAGCCTCACCAGATAGAGCAAATCAGGACATCAGCTCCACAGGGAGGCTAAAACTACTTTTATTGAAAGTGGCTATTGTAACAGAATCCTGCACATTTGATTGGGCTGTGCCTCCTCCCACTTATACTCCAATGAATTAGGGAGGCATCTATTATCTTGTTTCTCAGGACTTGAAAAAAAGGTTCCAGCTCCTTTTGCCTAGGTAACAGTTCTTGCATAATTCCATCAAGGCCATCTTCCTTAATCTCTACATTGGCTGCTTTGTATCTCAGATTACAAACTTTACAAAACTAATCCAGACCCCCTCCAGGCTATCGTAGTCAGGATGGCTGGGGATAATAAAAACTATACAGTAGAGCAGGGTTCCTCAACCTTGGCAACTTGAAGATGTGTGGACTTCAACTCCCAGAATTCCCCAGCCAGCAGGTTGAGGAACCTTGCAGTAGAGGACCAAGAGGGAATTAGGCTAGAGGCCTACTTATTTCCTTTAAAAAATGAAAGCTGGGAATCTGAAGATTGTGGGTCATTGGAGGATATCCTAACTGCAGTATGAACATATAATATTTGCTTGAGATCTGACTCACTATGATCCAGAGGCTGATTCATATGACTGAAAACAGAATATCCATGAAGAACTAATTCATATTCCTCTCCTCTATCTGGTATTCTCTAGATGTGGTGGGCCTCTAATAATGTTGGCTAATAATAATGGATGTTAAAATCCAATCCTTCTGACGGGCACCAGGTTGGGGAAGACATAAATATCACGTTAGAAGAGATTGACTAACACAGAGATAAAAGTTACCACAGATGACATGCGTAGCATTACTCATACCATGTGAGGTAATATACATGCACCGGTATCTTATCTGAGTCAGGTGAGTAACCCAGTATAGAAAGACACCTGAGAATCTGGTGACTGTAATCCAATGAACCTATTTTTAGTTTATGTACCTTCGTCAGCTTCAGAATTAACCAGAACATTCATCATGCACTGATTGTTCATAGAGTTAATGAATATAAGCAAAAGGGGATTGAGGCAGGAAGTTCCTCTTTGTGATTAACATGTGGTGACTTCATTATCTGTACACACCTTTGATCCATGCACTTTGGATAGGTGTAATAGCCTTTGGTTGAATGACCTTTGACCTTACAAAGGCAAGGTGCCAAACCTTATATAAAGCCCTGTGTGTATAAACTTACTACGCACAGAAAGCATATGTACATTTTGTAACTGTTAGTAACGCTCAGATGAAGGAGCATAATCACACCTCTATGATCTCTAAGCATTCATTCCGGGCTCTGAAAAAGCCACTAGAACATGAGATGGGGCCATGTGGGATCCTTTGTCTTGTTCATGCGCACATATACATACACACACACTCTCCCACACATCGCAATATTGGAATGGGGATAGATAATCAAATGGAAATACTGTAGATCAAGGGATGGTCCTGGAAAGAAGAAACAGTAGCAGCTCCAAGAAAAACTAGAAAACTAAAGAGAAAAGAGGAGGCAGGATCTCAACAGCTCCGTAGAAACAGACAATTTATGCATGATTTGCTGGCTTTGGAGGCACTTCTAAAAACCTGGCTTTCAGGATGTAGCACATTTTGAAATGGTTATTTATTTTTTACCAAGCAGAGCTAAGGGGTGGGGGGCGGGGAGGAACTGCAATGGAAGTTGGTGATCTGACCACGGTACCTTGAGCTTATTACTTTGGGATTGTATTTTCTAAACTTCTTACCTGCAATGGGCTGTCGCTGCAGGGCACTTTGGGAGGGGCACCTCTAAAGAGGATTTGCTGCATTGGTGGTGGTGACTTTGGGGATTAGGTTTGTCCAAGCCTAGTGGCCTTATGGTGGTCTCTCTCTCTCCTGTGGAGAGGGATTTCTTTCAGCTCCATCAGATGGGTATTGGCACAAGCCATCTCAGAGCTTGAAAAAGAGTCAGAAACTGAGCCCAAAATTTCAGTTACTTCAGGATATAATAGTGTGTGGATTTCCCTGGAAGCGAGTCCAACTCAGCGTAATGGAACTGAGCGTTGGGTAAACATAGGCCGAGTCAGATTACACACACGTGGAAAGATAAACAACTTTCGCCTATTCAAATAAGTTCTAAGAATTCCTCATTTAATCTATAAAGTGGCATGTGCCATTTTTGCCCATTTCAAAAGATACTAACGCTACCAAATCTGAGCTGCAGAAATCCAGGTGGTCACAAAATGGCAGCAAAAAGTTAGTGCTTTCTGTATTTCTGTGCTGCCATTGATTGCCCAGTGTTTTCTCAGCATAATTAAGGTGTTGTTTTGACCACTGAAAGGCCTACATGGCTTTGATCCTAACTGGACAATAAGACCTCCTGAGGGGTCCCTTTCAGAGACGCTCTTGTTTTTGGAGTCCTGCTTATCAGGATATGGGAAAAGGTGGTTTCCCCAGGTATTTATTTCATTCCCCGCTCCTCTGTTTAAAAAAAGTGCGAATGCACCCATCTTCAGTAAGGTCTTTTGAATGTTTTAAGATGATGCTAGCATCTCTATATCCATGTTGCTTGTGTTATCTTTTATTGTTGTTGCTTTAATTTTTTGCTTTCATCCTATTTTTTTTATTCCACCTTTCTTATTTTTTTATAAATAACTCAAGGTGGCGAACATATCTAATATTCCTTCCTCCTCCTATTTTCCCCACGATGACAACAACCCTGTGAGGTGAGTTGGGCTGAGAGAGAGGGACTGGCCCAAAGTCCCCCAGCTGGTTTTCACGCCTAAGGCGGGACCAGAACTCACCATCTCCTGCTTTCTAGCTTGGTGCCTTCACCACTAGACCAAACTGGCTTTTCCTGGGTTGCTGGCTATTTTCATTGTGCATCCTGGAGCAAACAGTGGGCTATAAGTCAAATGGAATCAAATCAATAATATTAAAGGAGAAACATGGATCCCTCCATTCAACCGTTTCTGTCTGATTCTGAAAGCCGGTGGTGAAATGGCAGGACAACTAAAATTGTTATCCAAAAGATTATAAAAAGAACAAGAGAAATCAAGGAACTTGACTGAATTCTTTCTGCACTTGCTGACATGAGGAGTTTGGATAAACCAAAGGAAGCCTATGCAGCCTAGAGGGGATATTGAATTCCAGAGGGGGTAAATTCTCCCCTAGGGGAGAATGTGAATTCTGGATCTCTGCTGGGGGCGAGGGGGTGGGGTGTAAAATGTCAAAAGACTTTAAAAGAAAACAGGAGCTTTGCAATAAAAGTTGGCTGGCTAATTGTTCAAATGCTAGATGAAAACATGAGAATGGATATGCTAATTTTCCCAACAGAACACGTGTTTTTTAACCTTAGTTTTCAAGATAACCTAGTGCAATAATTTTCAAAGGACAGTGTGAAATTGAGAGAAATGTCAACCTCCTAACCTCATTTTTTCTTTCTTCTACAAATGGTGTGGCTGTAGCCAGCCAGGCAATGTAATGTAATAATAGCTGGAGTGGAATGGTAGAAAATTCATTAATTTTTCTTCCACAGCTTGAGAATAAACATTTCAGTACATCTGCTTATCTACCTCCCCCCCCCCCCCCCCCACTTTGCTATTCAGCTGTGTGATGCAGCAGTCAAGTTAAAATTCTACATGGGATGTCAATGAACTTGGATGACTATGCGGCTACTGACCTATAGGTAAATAATTCTGGGCAATGTGGAGGCTTAATTCCTGACCACTAAGTTACTATGCAAAAGTTGGTGGGCATTGAAAACGCACAGATGCATTATTGGTTAATGTGACGCATTGGGATATTTGATACTTATTTCTTTTTGCTTTTTGAAACCTCATTTGGTGAGTAATTTTTTTTTTACTATTTTAGATTTAGGGGGAAATAATACTAAAAATAGCACACACTTGAACAAGCTAAAGAAAATCATCTTAAAGTTATTGTGACCAGATTCTCATATTCTTGCTATAATTCAAAGGAATAAAGACGCTTGCTCTATTAACAGTATAAAGCTAATTTAAAAAAAAATCTATGAAATTCTTTTTTGTTTGGATTAATGATATTAGGTAAGAGCTGTATGTATGCATAGATGGATGGGTTTTCTAAATTGTACCTTCTGCCTGCCAGCACCCAAATGACGGGCAGTAGAAATATCAATGAAAACATCTAAAATATGCCTGTATAATAAGATCATATAAGATGTGACAATGGAATTAGAATATTTACTTTTGTATTTAAAAGCCACTGACCTCTCATTTTTAGACTGTATTCAGACCAAATTATATTTGATGTGGGAAATCAAGGACCTGATGTCTTGATATTTTAAATGTGTGTGTTTAGGGGTGGGTGTGGGGTCTAAATTAAATTGGGATGTTGAGAGGTTAGTTGAGTCTGTGAGGCGCTACTAATTTCTTGTTGATTGGTTTTTGTCCTCAATTGCCATTATATGTTTTTATATTATTGTTTATTCTGTATTTGGAATTGTTATGTTGTATTAGCTGCTTAGAGATGCTTTTGTGTGATGGCACCCATATAAATTGAATAAATAAGAGAAGCAGAAGGGGGGGAGAGATCCCTTTGCATTATTTCCCACATCTAACCCATCCTTTTATTTTCATTCCTGAAGGGGAAAATAACTCATAATCTACTCAGTGAAATATTTTAAAGAAGTCAGTGCAGTGTCTTGGTTATTCTATTTCTATTATGTTATTATAAACTTCTAGAGCCCAAGGAATAAGAATTCAGACCAAAGAGCCAAGAACATTTATGTGGCAATTTAAATGGTTTGTTTGTCATGTTTACATTCAACACATACACACACAACACACACACAGAGTGAAAACATTCTCACATATCTTATTCTGGGTTCATACAGTGCACATACTGAGGTTTATACCTCTTTGATTTATTATATGTTAGCAAGTTGGTGTCAACTTTTAGCAACTACGTAGGTAGATCTTGTCCAGCATAATCAGTCCCCAACCTGTCCCTTCATATCTTTCAACATCACACCCATTGCTGCTGTAATCAAGTCCATCCATCTTGCTGTTGGTTGTCATCGTCTTCTCTTTCTATCTACCTTTCCCAACATTATGGATTGGCAAAGGGAGCCAGATCTTTGCATAATGTGTCCTTCCAGCAGTGTCCACAGGATCCTGTTTTTGTCAGAGTGACAGAAGCACTGCTACCACTTCTTGTTGCAAGCTCCACCACTTTTGGTGTGCATGAAACCTCATGGCACATCTAGAAAAGGGGCAGGGCTTGTATTACTATCCTATAATGCTGCTTTCATCAATCTGAACTCCCCTGTGGATGCCACTGTAGCCCTCCCTCCCTCCCTC